GTTACCAGCCCTAGGGAGAATCGCTTAGGATACTTCAACCTGAGTAAATAACAAATGTCCTGTAAGCCTTTTTCTCCCCAGTTCACCCTTTCTCACTAGTTAATCACTTGTGCATAAAGGACAGGAGTACAGCCCCTCTAAAGCCACAATGGAAAGGACCTCAGACCTGATCCTGACCAATCCCACAGCTGTGAAGGTAGAGGGACTCCCAGCCTGAATCTACCACAGCCATGTAAAAACCAGCAAGACTTGGACCAAGGCAAAGACTGCAGAATCACCTTAAAAAGGACAACAAGCCCTGCTCCAGCCACATCCCGGAAGCTGGCTGGTCCATGCACTGCCGAAGCATGAGGAAATTCATCGTGGGACTTACTGTTCTCAATATTTGGACTTGTACAGTAGGGACATTAATTGATTTTAAAGAATGCTCTCAATGTGTCCACCAGGTTATAAAGGTAGGGCGAAATGTCACTGCCGTTCTTTTGTTTTACAGTTATTATAAGTGCACAAGGACACAAAAGGGAATGTGTTTATACAATGGTACTCAGTATAAGATAATGTAGACTGGGGGATGGACAGCCTAATGTATGTTACAACCCATCAGAGCCCCCTATACATACGACTGTTGAAATCAGGCTCCTGACAGGGCGATGAAATAGCCCTACTAAATTAACAGCCAGGACAGAAGAGAGAGGAAGCCCAAAACAGGTCACTCTAAAGGTTTGATGCCTGTGCAGCCTTCAATACCTATCCTTCCGGTGCCGAGGGCTGTAGTTCCCTCTGGTGGGGACAAAGTTATGCAACAGAGTATAAATATCTCTGCCAGAAAACCTACTGGTGCTATGACTGCACCTGTTGGTCCTGTGTCACCTGGGCCACTTAGAAAAATAAAAATGATCCTGTTCGCCTTGTGAAAGGGAGAGACACCACTCCAGGAGGTAATGTCCCCTGTATCTCAGGACATTGTAACCCAGTAGAATTAATAATCACGAACCCCCAAGACCCCAAATGGGAAAAAGGGGAGAGTGCAGTGCTAAGAATTGATGGAAAAGGATGTTACCCTAAAGTTAGTATCCAAATTCAGGGAAAAGTCCAGAAACTCTCAGCCCGGCCAGTGTACCAACACTTTTATGATATATTAGATGAACCGATATCAAAGCTTCCAAAAAGGATGAAGAACTTGTTCCTCCAACTGGCTGAAAATGTGGCCCATTCCCTCAATGTCACTTCTTGCTATGTATGTAAAGGAATGACCATGGGTGACAGGTGGCCATGGGAAGCCCGTGAGTTATTACCTACTGACCCTGTCCCAGACCTGACCTCAGTTCAAAGGGTTCAAACCAACAGTTTCTGAGTTTGAAAGGTTTCAATTATTGGGCAATACTGTTTGACCAGAGAGGGAGCAGGCTTCACTATTCCAGTAGGGAAGCTTAGCTGCTTAGGGCAGCAATTGTATAATGGAACCGTGGGCACAGTAACCAGGCGGAGCTCAAACTATACAGAGAAGAACGCCCTCCTAAAATTTCCAAAATTACAGGATGCTTGGGATCATCCTGAGTACCGGAGAGATTGGACAGCCCTGCCTGGGTTATACTGGATATGCAGACATAGGCCATACATACAACTGCCTAACGGGTGGACAGGTAGCTGTGTCATAGGCATCATTAAGCCCTCTTTCTTCCTATTATCTGTTAAGACTGGTGAGCTATTAGGGTATCCAGTCTACACCGCTAGGGAGGAAAGAGACCTAAAAATAGGTATTGGACAGATGATGAGTGGCCACCGGAAAGAATTATTGAGTATTGTGGACTGGCCACATGGGCCGAAGATGGCTCATGGGGATACCGGACCCCTATTTGCTCAACCGGATCATCCGGTTGCAGGCTGTTTTGGAAATACTCACTAATGTAGCAGGCAAAGCTCTGTCCCTCTTGGCCCGACAAGAAACTCAAATGAGAAATTCAATTTATCAGAACCAGCTGGCCCTAGATTATTTGCTAGCAGCCAAAGGAGGAGTCTGTGGAAAATTCAGACTGTGGAAAATCTAACCAACTGCTGTCTGCACATAGATGACCAGGGGCAAGCAGTGCAGGATATTGTGCGAGACATGACCAAACCGGCACGTGTACCTGTACAGGTGTAGCACGGATTTAACCCCGAGTCCTTATTTGGAGGTTAGTTCTCATCCTTGGGAGGATTCAAAACCCTCATTATAAGTGTTACAATAATACGTAATAGGTGTTTGTTTGTTGCTCCCTTGTCTACTCCCCCATTCCTTCAGATGATTAGGGGCTTCATCACTACTGTAGTTTGCCAAAAAAATGACATCACAAGTGTATTATATGAAACATTATCAGTCGGTTTCTTCAGAAAATCTAGAAAGTGAGAATGAAAGTGAGACCTCTCACTAATATTATAAAATGGTGAGGGTCTCAAAGTGGGGGATGAGGAGGGAGACCCAGGCATTTAGGATTCCCTCCCCCTCTGTCACATCCACTGTGCATCTCAATAGAAGAGAGAGCAGGCCAGCTGGCACCTCCTGGATCTTCTTCCTGAAAACAACAGGCTAGGCCTTGGGGAAACTTCAGAAGGCACTATTTTTACTCAAAACAAGATCAAACCAGAAACCTTTTCACATGTGAGTCCTAAAACTGTAAACTGAAACCCTTTCATATATAATTCCTGAAACTGAACTGAAACCCTTTCATATGTAATTCCTGAAACTATGAACTTAAGATCCTTCCACGTGTAGCATCTAAAGTATAAGCCTATATAAAGGCTGAACCTCCCTTTGTTAGACGTGTTTTGCTGTTAGGCACATATGCCGCAAAGGTCCCAGCTGTAGTACATTCCTTCCTCCTGCATTCGGTGTGCGAGAGATCCTTTCCCATGGCCACTTCTGCTACCCTACGTCCCGTGCAATGCACCTGCTGGTTGTGTTCACCTGCTGTCCACACTGGAGCAGGGATTCTGTTTTTTTTCCTCAGAGAAGCATCCGCAGCACAGCCCATTGTCGGTGCTGAGGCTGTAGGAACCCTGCGAGTGAATAAATGAGAGGCAGCGATTGGGGCGGGGCCTCTGTCTTGTCAATTCACTCACTGTGGTTTAGATGGTAACTTAGGACATGGTGAGACCAGTATTTTCTGGGCACAATAAATCTGAATATATTGTGAAGACAAGAAGTAGAAAGAAATGTTAGTTGGAAGAATATATATTTTCAAGAAGTTAGGAACAGTGAGAAAAAAGCCAATAGGAAAGGGGCAAGGTTGGCTTGGTTGTGGCTAAGCTGGTGGAGAAACGCAGCCTTCTGCAACAGAGGGCCTGAGCTGTGAGGTTCCTCTGCAATGCCGAGACCACCCCCACCACGTGCCCCGCCCCCTGGGATTTCTTGTCAGTTATAACTTGTGCAGAAATTCCATCCATTAGCACAGAGAGAAAGTGGCAGAGGATGTGAAGAAAAATGGCTGCTAGGACGATCACCGAAGGTAATGAGCAGCATGAGAGGTTGGGTCTCCAATGCCCTCATCGTCTGCTGCTGGCTGTGGACTTGCTAAGCCTTGAACTCCCGGCTGTCCAGAAAGGCACAGTGGTGAGTAGACAGGCGACCTCTCTGAGGGAGAGCGGGAGGCAGACCAGGCTAACAGGGGCTGCTTGGTGTCATCTTCCACCTTCAGAAAGATGAAGCGATGGTTTATGTGGCTGAGAAAAACCTGGGTCTGTTCTCCTGGGTGATCCCTCCCAGACCCTCCCCATTTCGGAGCCTCTCCCCCAGATAAGGACCATGTTTTCCCTCCAA